TCCTGGGGCAGGGGCTGAGGGTGGGTCTCCCTGGGGAGGGGGCTTCCCTCTCCTGCTCCCAAACAAAGAACCCAGGAGAGAGGAGGAGTTAGGCACGGGCTGGGGGGGGCGAGATGGGCACTCTCGTGTTGAGGTCGCTCTCCGGCGCATGTGAGGACTGCTAATGATGGAGCCCTAAAAAGGAAATTCATAGAAACCAAAATTAAAAGATCTCGAAGCACACAGGCCTGACCAAGCTTTCCAAATTCAGAAGTCACCCACTGACTGCTGGGCCCGAGGATAGGAAAGATGCAGGCTCAGCCTGACAGCCACTGTGCAGGGCAGCTGGGGGCTGGTCCTGATGGAGGTGAGGGGCATCTCCTTTCTGTGCAACAGCACAAGGATACTTCTGCCAGAGTGAGGCATCAGCCCACGTGACAGGGTAGGGTGTTGTGAGCATGTGAGGCCACGGGGTGGGTAGCAGTGAGTGTGGAAGAGGCATGAACCTGGTTCCTGTGAAGCTGGGCCTTAAACTCCCCTGGGACCTCTGCCCATGGGGGGGGGTGTCCAGAGGAATCTGGGATGGTGGGATCAGACAGGTAGGACCCTATAACCTTATCCTTGGGGGTGGGGGACATGGCCTAGGACTTTCCTCGAAGCTGCCGGTTACAAACCCAGGAGGAGTAAAAGGTCTGTAGGTTCAGTCAAGGTGTGGGCAGCAGGGAGCAACAGGGAATGAATGAAAGAAAGCTCATGAAATCCACACTGACTCTTCCTTTCTCTCAGAAACTCCTCCTGTGAGCTAGCTAAGCGATTCCATTGTGTCCTGACCCCAGACACACAGCCAGTAAAACTCCAGGAAGGAAGCAATGGATGGCGGAGCGTAGGGATAGGCGAGTGGGGCTAACACATCCAACAGTGAGAGCTGAGGATGAGTGAGGGGCGGGTGGCGCTTGCGCCCGGGGCGGGACCTGAAAGCCAGGACGTTCATCATGCTCAGGAACCACAGGGAACAGGGGTTAAGTGGAAATGAGAACACAAAACCCACGCCTCCCTCTCCCCAACCCTTGGGTCAGAACAAGCAGTGAGAGGCATGGATGCTTCTAGGCAGAGAAGCTGCATGCAGGGCGGAGGCAGGCAGGGCGGGAGGGCCAAGTCTGTGTCTCTGCAGGAAGGGGAGGGAAGAGCAAAAGAAGACAACATAGAAACCAAGGGAGGGTGACACAGGATGGCCAGCTGGACGGGTGCTTCCTACTTACTTCCACATTGCTCTCTAGCGATCCCGCACTGCTGCGACGCCCTCGCTTCCCTGCCCAGAACATGCAATACCAGAGGTTAGACACGCACACCAGGCCTGCCGCTGCCACTGCCGCCTGCCGCTGCCACTGCCCGCAGTTGGGGCTGGCCCATGTGTCTGCCAGTTAAGGGGGGCTTGAACGGGCTCAGTGGGGAGGCCAGCAGCAGTGCAGTGAAAGTTTTAAAAACAATGGCGTGAACAAATGCTCAGCGAAAGGGAGAAAATGTTTTTAAAACCAGGTCCAACTTTGTAATGTTTATCCTGAACTGTGGTCTTTGGGGAGGGGGTCTGAGGTGGGGATATGTGTACTACCACCTCAAACTCCTGCCTGCTCACCTGACTCAGAGCAGCCAGCCTCAGCTGGGGGTACAGCTTCTGCAACAGCACAATACCCTGATCCCCAGTGGATTTCATATATATATATATATATATGCATATCCACATGCATGCTTACATATATATATTCCCCTCCTTGCCTTCTGGGGCAGAGCAGTTGGTCAAGGGGAAACTGAGTCTTGGGCCCCTTGTCCTCTGGTACCTCTGGGGGTAGGGTTTGGTTTGTGCAGTGCCCTGCCTCCTGAGTCTACCTCTCCTACCCAAAATACAATGCATTCTAAGTCCAAAGTGTCTACAATGAGGACATAGCACATAGTAGGTACCCACCCATCAATGTATGCTGGCTATGTCAAAGAGAGGTTGGACCTTCCAATAGCCCACTCATGCCTCAGCAGTCCCTTCAGAAGTCTCTCCTTGACTTCTTGTTTGAGGGTGCAGGATCTCTGGTAAGCCTCTGTGGGTGCAGCGCTAGCTGTTGAGTTGAATTGAGCACCATGCTGGATGGGTCAGAGGGAAGCACCAAGGCCAAGACAAGGTATGGGCTACCTCCATTTACAAAGAGAGCTGGTGGATGAAGAGGCTGCTGTGTGCCTCTCTGGTGGCCAGGCCTATCATCAGGGCCTGAGAGTCTCTGTCCCTCAAAGCAGATTGGACTGCAAAGAAGTATCAGGTGGAGACAACTATGGGCCTTTTAGCCTTAACATGACCACTGAGACTAGTAGTGACAAGCAGATATGGAGGAGGAGATCTAGTTACTTCTTTGTCTGCTGACCCCAAGCCCCAGATTCAAGGGAGAATCTAGGTCAGGGGAAGGAAGGCTATGACACCATGTAGATATCAGCTGCTGGGCATCCTGGGTAGATGGCCCCTTCCTTTAGTGAGAAGGATGTTTCCCCATCTGCAGGTACAAAAGAGGCTTCCCAATGAGGTCCATGGCAGAAGTAGGCTTCAAGCTGCAAAGGATACACCCACTATGGCTTAGGCTTTTGGCCTCATTTTTCCATCTGTGAGATGACCATTTCCTGACTCCAAGCTGCTCTCTTGGGTGGCCAGGATACTGTGGCACAACATGCATGAAGAGTGTCCCTTCTCTGCTCTCATTTTTCAGATAGGCTCCTAAGCCCCTCCCCATGCACCTGAGGCTCCCCAGAAAAGACCAGGTGGCTTGCAGCCAGAACTGGAGCAGAGGGAGACTGTATTGCCCAGTGGGGGCTGTAGTTTCTTCAATTTCATCTTTTCCACTTCTCAGCTCTCCCCACAATCACTCACAGAACTGTGTACTCACTGCTGCACCCCCACAAGCCTGCTCAAACATTCAGCCACTGGGAGTAAGGCATGCTGGACGCACAGGCTCACGCCCTGGTCTGCATGGTTCAGCTGAAAGGGTCTCATATATGGTCCTTAAAGCCTCGGCTGCATTTCAGAGGTAGGATGAGCTCTCCTTCCTGTGCTGTGGCCCTCATACCTCACTCACGAAGGAGGATAACAGGCCAGTTCTAAATTCTTCACATGCTTTGACTTGTCAGTGCAGCTGGGGAAACTGAGGCAAGGCCTGCCTGCTCAAGAATGGTAGCAGAGTAATGGCATAAGCTTCAGACAGCTGACTCCAGAACCCATGCTGCCCAGTCTCTGCTGGACATTGTGTAGTAGGAGGCGATGTAGCTGTTCATTGCCACCAGTTCTCACAGATGGACTGCCCTGGTACAGCATCCGAAGTCTCTGACTCCAGGGATGGCCTCTGTGGGAACTTGGTACTGGTCAGTGTAGCTGGGGAGGGCCAGGCTAGGTATGGCTACTACATGTCTGCTCACAGGTCCTCGTTTTTGTGGCCCAGGGAAGAGGACAGGACTAGAGCTGGGTCTCCTTCCTTCTCCCAAAGGGAGGTGTCTATCGATGGGCTTGCTTGTGAGCCATTCCAGGTTCCTGCTGGGCTCAGGCCTTGTCTGTGATGGGGCGGGCTACTGCAAATCAGAGGCAGCTGCTCTCAAGGAACCCTGCCCCACTATAATGATCAAGGCCTGCATCTTCATGAGATAGTGCACCTGACTGTCATCACCTCAGGCTTTGCACGGTGGCACTGTGGAGAGTGAGGACGACTAGGCTGCCTGTTGGGAGCTGGTTGCCCAGGTCAAGAAGCCTGCCTCTCCAGATGCCCTGCCAGTGTCTTCCAGGGTAAGATGCTGCTTCACTGGACATCACTGGTGGTCTTGGCTGGACTCAGATGTTTGGGATCCCCTCTGAGTCTTTTGCCCCTGATGAAATCCTTGATGTGTCCAGGAAACGACCAGTAACAATTCAGAAAGCAGCTGCATCAAGATGCTCCATCCTTGCAGGGATGCAACCAGACAGGTGATTCTGCCTGACCCTTGAGCCTGCTGCCCCAGGCCTCAGTTACAGCGGGGCCACTGCACAGACTCAAACCACCCCAGGGCCCAAGCAGTCCCGTGACATGGGCTGGGTTGAACAGGCCACTGGGAAGCTAGTGGTTCTCAACCAGGGTGATTTGACACCTGGCATTTCTGGAGATGCAACAGGTTGTCATAAGTGAGCAAGTGCTGCTGGCCTTGGTGAACCAGGCACAGTTCAATGGCAGGCAGTTATTTGCCTCAGAGTGTCTCCAGTGCCCAGGTTGAGAAGCCCTGGCTTAAACCCTCATGCTGGTGGTGTCAGATTCTCACTATGGGAAAAAAAAATGACAAAAACAAAACTCAAAAAAGGAAAAAAACAAAAAAAACAAAAAACAAAAAAAACCAACAATTCCTGAGAAATGAGAAAGCAGTATGAGGCAGAGCTGTGGTGGGAGGGCTGGGAGGGAGTGCTGGGCAGGCTCTAAGTGCCCCACCTCACTTAAGGACCAAGGCTACACTGCTCCATGCACACTTACTGGCTAGACACTTGTGGTAGCTAAGGGGCTGCTGCTCTGACAGCATCTGTTTCCTCTCCAAGGCTGGATGAGGAGGCCACTGATAGCAGCTTCCTGAGGCTCACAGTACTCTCTGCCTCTAAGAAATCTAGGTGGCTTGCAGGTTCCTGCTCTCTGGGGCTAAATGGCTGGCAGAAAATTAAACTACAGAAACAAGGAAATACCACTGACAGTGAACGGCTTCCACTAGGTGTCTTTCCCCCACACTCTGCCACACACCTACTGTGGCAGTGGCTTTATGCTAGACAGAGGCCTGGAATTCTCAGGAAAAGAGCCCTACAGGAAGCAAACCAGGACAGTGGCAAAGAGGGTTCCCAGACAGTTCAGTAGCCTTCGTTCCATTTCATTCATTAGCATAGGACACACAGCAGTGGAAAGCACACGGGACGCACCAGCCTGATGCTCTTAGCTTTAGAGCGATAGATATGGGGGCGGGAGGGAAGTGATAAAGACCCTGGGAGAAGTAGGAAGTGGGGTACCATCCCTGGGTGTCTTGCACAGACTGTCCCTTGGACACTTCTGTGTCCCGCTACAGTCCTGGGATGCTCATGGACCTCCAAGAAAACTGTGTCCATGCCCTGAGCAGCCCTTCACCATGCCTGCCCATGGACGCCAGGCCTCAGTCCTGCATGCATCAGCTGGAAGGCTGCTTCTCAGCCCAGCTCTTACCCGCTTCTGAGAGGTCTCTCAGGGAGCTGCTGAGGGCACTGCGCTTGAGGCCCTCGCTGCTGGCATAGCTGTCATCCAGGCAGGCCCTGCTCAGTGTTCCGTTGCCTGACTCCTTTTTGAGGCTGGAGCACTGGGACATGCTGGGCCGCACGACACCCTTCTGTTTCTCCAGCTCCGCTGTAACAGAGGAGGAGGACCAGTGAGAGGCAGTGGCCGCTGTCCTGGGCCCTAACGCCTGGGAATAGGGAGGGAGATTCCTGGAAAAGGGGGACATCATGGCATTCTAGATAAGAAATGGGCTGTGAGCAGTCCCCGGAGGCCAGCTGCCTGTGATAACACAGACTTGCACTTTTGAGCTCAGGAGGGCTGCAAGTTAGGCTTGGACTGGTGGAGGAGTGGGCCATACTTATCTACAGAGGAGTAGGTGAGGACACTGCAAGTCTGCAGAGACCTAGAGCCAGGGCACCAACAGTTACTGGGCCAGAATGAGGATTAGGATTGAATGGCATAAACTCAACTCCACAGTGACCAGAAACAAGGGTTGGGCTAAGGCAAGCAGTATGCTGAGGGGAAGGATGGCTCCCCAAGGGCTACTCTGGCACACGTTGTTGAGACAAAGACCTGGAGAGCTCATTCCTGGGCCTCAGGGAGTCCTGGCACCAACCACTTCTGAACATTGTCATTAGCACACGACAGGAAGGATCCCTGGGAAGACCTCTTGAGACTTAGGAGCTATGCAGTGCTTCTCAGTGTCCTGCTTGGGACTTACACTCTATCCGGTGTTTCTCCATCTCCTGAACTTCAGCAACAGACTCCCGCAGGTCATCAGTGAACTTCTTCCGGTCCTGAGGATTGGGAGCGTTGAAGTTTATTAGCACTTTGATATCTGCTCCAGGGACAGCAGACGTCAGCCGGATGCCATTGGGGTAGTCTGCAGGGGAGGAGAGGAAGGGCCATGGAGTCAGCAGTCACTGTATGGTCCACTGGCCAGAGAACAAGGATGTGTGCCTTGGGATGGGCCGAGGTGGCCTCTGCAAAAGCAGAATCATAAGCAGGAAATGGCCTTCTCTCCAAGACATGGGCGACAGCCTACCCTGAAGCCAACAGTCACTGCCAGGCACCAAATCCTGGAGGACAGTGGCATCCTCAGCTGTGTGGTGTCTTATCCTTTCTCCCAGGGAACTCTGGACAACAAAGACTTTACTCCTGAAAAGCTTTCAATCATGGTCCCCTTGGGGTGACCATGTCCCCGCCCCATATCAAGCCAACTCTCTCAGTGGCTTGGCTCTCTTGGAAGCAGAGGCCCCGATGAGCATCTCCCCAAGGAAGTGAGCACTGAGTGGCACCAAGCTGAATCCCAGATATCTAAATCTAAGGTGGAAATTTTGATATGGACTCAGCAATTTACCCAAATCATTCAAACCACATATGATGTGCCTGAGTGAGGCACTCCCACTGCAGGGTGGCTGGTGCTCTCACCTGACATCTGGGTTGGAGGCACATGAATATGACCACCAGTATTCACAGCTGGCTTCACTCCTGCGCCCACTAGGTCCCTGCCCTGGCCTGAGCAGTCTGAGTTGACACAAACCTTGTCAACACTAAGGTAAGAAAGGCTGTGAAGGGTCAGGGCAAGCAGTCTGAGGAACAGGAGGGCTGAAGGCCTCAAATGCAGCTGCTAGCATGGTGGTTCTGGTGGCCAATTGTGGCTGACAGTTTTTGAAACTGCAGGTTTCTGGAAGGCTGATTACAAGAGTGTACTAGCTTGTCTCGAGACAAGGTGGGGTCTGTAACACTACAGACACTTCAGCCCTGCCACACTAGCAGAACAACTGTCCCAGCTCAGGGACTTCTGACAGAAGAGAAGGAGAAGAAAGCAGCCCGGGAGAAGGGGCCAGACCTAAGCAATAATGGGTCCATAGGTAGGAGCTCTGGGCCCAACTATACTACACTGGAGAACCAGTGTGGGGGTCCCATAGGGTAGGCATTACAGATGGGGGGGTCAGGGTTGGTGTGGGGGTTCCCATAGGGTAGGCATTACAGATGGGGGGGCAGGGTTGGTGTAGGACAATGACTCTCAGCTTCTGCATGTGTCATCAGACTGTTCATGGATTGCTTCTCTTGGACATGCCACAAATGAACCTACTTCTGCCTGCTAAAACCCTGGTCCCTGGCAAAGTACCCTCTATTCATCTAGCCTGTCCTGAGGAGGGAATGTGTACATAGAAGGCTTGCATCCTAGCTGAAGGTGACAGGAACAAAGGGAACAATGTGCCCTCTCATACCCCACAGGTCCCAGAAGACTCACACTGGTTCTCGAAGAGCAGGACTTGCATGCCATAGAGGGAGAAGGACTGCCGGAAGCTGTATGTCACCGAGTTCTTCTTCTTCTGGAAGATCTTGGTCACCTAAGGCAGCAGATACAGAGCAATGCTGCAGTGTTTGGGGAGGCTAGGGTCCTTGTGCCATCTCAGCTGCCACCAAAGCCCAACAGACAGCACAGGGGCCAGTGCCTATGCCTGGGGATGGGCAGCTAAGGCAAAATGGTGCTGACCTCAGAGGTCAGGGCTCGCTCTTTCAACACCACTCCTAAGAGCAAGACCATCATTTCCAGACTAGCAGAAAGCCTGTTGCATGTAAAAGGCTCTCTAGACACAAGGACACTTAGACCTGGGGTGACTTGTTCAAGGGTTCAAACCTTCATGCCTGAGTGAGGTCTCTGCCCATCACAGCAGTCACTGTTATCAAAGAGACCAGAAGCCAGCCAGTGCAGTAATTGTGCTGGTTAGCTTCTGACATATTGATACACCAGAGTCATCTGAGAAGAACAAACCTCAATTGAGACAACTCTTGTATTACAGTGGCTGGTAGGCAAGTCAATGGGGCATTTGATTGAGGTGGGAGGTACCACCCCTGGGGCAGGTGGTCCTAACTTGTATTAAGAAAGCAAACTGAGGAAGCCAGTAAGCAGGTTTTCTCTATGGTCTCTGCTTTGTTTTGATTCTTGCCCTATAAGCTAAACTAAACCCTTTTCTCATTAAGTTAAGTTGCTTTTGATCATGGTGTTTATCACAGCATTAAAAAGCAAACTAGCACAGAAATCCTATTTGGAGGAGGGGAGCACTTTCCTGCCAGTTTGAGAGTATGTGGCCCTGCTGAGCCAGGCAGTGCTGCAGTGCCCAGTGGCAGTGATGCACTTGGGAATGCCACATGCACGCTGGAGACTGTTTCCCTAGAAGTCTGGAGTCTCATGGGGCCTGCAGCTATGTGGAGCTCTCCTGGAAAGGGACCTGCTCTGCTCAGGATGTAGAGTCCTTCAACACTGAGGTTCTCTGGAGTCAGGCCCCCTGGATGTTCACAGAGGCCAAGGAACAACCCTGTTCATGAGTATGAGTTGGAGTCTTTCTCTTGAATTTAAAGACTGTGGGCTAGTGCCCTTGCTTAGGCATGGACATAAGAACATCTGGGCCCTGACACCTCCCAACACCACTTACCACCAGGAGGTCATTGAAGAGGAAGATCTCTCTCTGGTGCAGTCCCAGCTTCTGGGGTTTATTAGGGTCCGGAACCTCGAAAAGCCGGCAGTAGCAGACCAGCCTTCGATGGGGAAGAGAGAGTACCTGTGCAGGGAAAGACACCTGACTATTGTGACCTGCCCTCAGGGGCCTGGATGGGAGGGAATACTCTACCACTATCCCAAAGGCACTCTGAGATTCCTGACCTCTTGCAGGACTTAAGTAGACTTGCATCTGCCACGCCCCCCTCCCTTCCTACCATGTTACAGAGAACTTGTGGCCAGACATGAAGCCATGGGTTCCGACCTCTCCCAAAGCACCATCACTTGTCAGCCCTGTTTCTGCAGACAACCTTCCCAGAGTCCTCTTCCAGATGAGGACACTGAGGCATGCAGGGTTTAGAGTAGCTGGTGCTACAGGACACTGCAGAGCTTTGCTTTGAATCCCAGGGACATCTACCAAAATTCTTCCCATTGTGCCTTCTAATACCTGATAGCTGGGGCCTTGTCCTATGCTCATTGGCTTATGAGAGCAGCCCCACAATTTCACCATAGCCAAGCTATCACCCTCCAGGCCAAACTGCAAGCCACCAGCAAGGCCCAGCTCTGCTCTGGGAGTCCTGGCTCTTACAGGACACAGATGGTTTGGTAGAATCAACCCTCTGGGCCTGCTCACAGGAAGTCAGCTGCCAGATGCTTGGTGGAGCCGCTAAGTTCAGGACTTCATTTCGGAGAGAGAGAGCGTGAGCCAGTGTGGCCAACCTGGCATGCTCAGGGAGCCCAGTATGAGGGAAGATGGGAGACGAAAGCTTCTGAGGGGTGGGGAAGAGGCAAGAGGATAGGGTGTTGGGAGTCTTTCCTTGGGCAATCTGGGATGGGGGCTGCCCTGAGAGATATGAGCACAGGTAGCTGGGTATAATGGAGACTTTCAGGGGTGTGCCTGTTTGTGTATTCTGGGATGCATGGGTAGCCAAACAGAGTGGCTGAGATAGTGAAGGTATGAAGTGTGAGGGGACAGAGCAAGAGGCGTGGGAAGGCAGGAAGTTCCTTAGTGGCTACATAAAGGTCCTCTCATGCATAGTGTCTAGGTCTGGGGTCAGCAGGGTACCCACAGGAGATGCCAGGAGCCCATTTGCTTGGCTAGCCACCATCACCTTTCTTGTGTGCTTAAGGTCTCAGGACCCACAGAGGTGTGAGGCTGAGTAACTATGAAATTGAGATTCAGCTGGCTCTGGAAATGAATTTGGACTCTGTAGCAGCCCCAAGGCATGGGAGAACTGTAGATGGAGCATCAGATGAAGAGTAGAAGTACTCACACAGCCAAGCCCGTGATGCAGGGATCCAATCTATAGGAAAACACACACACACACAAAAAATTGACATTCCCAAAGGAAACTTGTGTCCCTCCCTCTGCCCAGAACCTGCTCTTTCTTTCCAGTTGCCAGGCTGCCCAGGAGTACTGCCAAAAGGAGGCCCTGGCTCTCTGTGGTCTTGTGGAGGATCTAAGGGCATCCCTAGGTCAGTGTTGAACAAGCACAGACCACACCAAGGGCCTCATGTTCTCAGGTGTGCAGCTGCAATTCTCAAGTACCAGAGGAACTACTTGGAAAAATCTCCAGGCCAGGAGGGCCCTTCCAGTGGTGGCAGAGCTGACTGACCCAGGATTACACTAAGGGGTGGAGGACCGGGCCCACTGCATACCGGCTTCTTGCCCACGATGAGCTTCTCAACCTTCTGCACCTGGGACACATGGTCCTCATTGGTCTTCAGTTCCCGCTTACGGATCCGCTCATAGATCCCAATCAGTGTCTCCCGGGGAATATCTTCACCATCATCCACACCTGGTCAAGGGAAAATGATTAGACATGAGAATGGCTGGGCTTGGGCAACAGAGGCTCCATTCTACAATGGGTCCCCATGCAGGCCTTGGATTCACATATTTCTAACAGGAGCCAGCAGAGCCACAGCCCTTCCAAGGTCCCTGTCATGGGTCTCCTTGAGTCCTTCCAGACTCAAGGAGAACAGTGCTGTGTTAATGTCTAAGCTATGTCTGTAGACCTTTGTAGATGTATCGTACAAATGAAGCAAAGGCCTGTGACATGGTCACAATGGTCTCAACTCTACAGGTGACGCTAGGGCAGTGGTTCTCAACCTTTCTAATGCTGTGACCCTTTAATACAGTTCCTTATGTTGTGATGAGGAACCATAGTTATTTTTGTTGCTATTTCATAACTGTAATTTTGCTACTGTTATGAATAATGTAAATATCAGATATACAGGATAAAGGATATCTGATATGTGACCCCTATGAGGGTCGAGACCCATATGTTGAGAACTGCTGGGCTAGCATGCATAGGTTATGCAAGCTGAAGAGTGATTTCTGGCTCTGAGAGACTTGGAGCTGAGCCCTCTTCAAGTCCCTTCCCACCTCCTAACTATGGGCGACCCAGTCTCCTGGGTTTGGTGTCCTCCTTTGTATAACAGGTCACCAAGAGCATTGGTAATACATGGGCTTGTCACAGAGAAATGAGGGAGACACATTGTTTGTCTAAGTAACCTTCATAGAACTGTGGCCATCTCTGGTGTCACCATCCCAGAGCACATAAACCACTTTTTTTCCTACAGTGAAAATTTTGGGGAAGAGAAACCCTCAGGAGAGCAGGCTCCCTGCAGCAAATCAGCCCTAAAAACAGAGAGCAGGCTCCCTGTAGCCTGCATAGGACAAGGACTGTGAGGACTGTGGCCTCCCATAGGACATGCCCACCAGAATCACCACTTCTAACCTCCCTTTTCACTGATTGCTTCCGATGAGGAGCTTGTCTCATGGGAAAAGAGATGCTTGCCAGCCTAGTGGTGGCATTTCTGCTTCCCTCTCAAAGGCCAGAGATCCAAGTTCCCGTCCACATACTACATCAGCCTCTTAGACACCTCAAATAAGAACCATGGAGGTACAGCATAATGAGAAAATACATTTTCCACAGCTGGGCTCAGTTCCTAGGGCCCTGCTGCAGATGCTCTGCTCAGGCAAAGACCTTCAGGGAGAAGGTGGGGCCTGGGTAGGTCAGGGGCTACACTAGAGAACTTTCACTTTCTATTTTTCAAAGATAGACTGTGGGCTGGCAAGATGGCTCAGTGGACAAATGTGTTAGTTGCCAAGCCTGATCACCTAAGTTTGATCCCTAAGGAGAGAACTGAGTCCCCCCAAATTGTCCTCCATACACATGCCCAGGTCCAACTGGAGTTTAGTGGCCCTGCCTCCTTAGGATTGGGTGCTGGTTCCTCCCACCACCTCTGAGCACTCAGACACACACTCACATAAATACATAAAATGTAATTTAAAGAAAAGCACAAGCCAGGCAGTGGTGATGCATGCCTTTAATCCCAGCACTCGGGAGGCAGAGGTAGGTGGATCTCTGTGAATTCGAGGCCAGCCTGGTCTACAGAGTGAGTTCCAGGATAGGCTCCAAAGCTACAGAGAAACCCTGCCTTGAAAAAAAACAAAAAACAAAAAATCAACAGCACACACACAAACACAAAACCAAAACACAAAAATGGACTGTTTTTAGGGTCATTTTAGGTTCAGGGAAAATTTAGCAGAAGATAGGAGGTTCTTGGAGCTCCCTATGGCCAGCTTCCCTCATAATATTCCCCAGAACCATGCTTGTTAACAGTCATGACCTGCACCAAATCCATGGCTTGCACAGTGGCTCAGTTTTGGTGTGTGACCTCCCATACTCTTGGACAAGCATGTACAAACCCCAGTAGACAGTTCTGGAGAGATGACTCAGCAGTTAAAACTTGCTGCTCTTACAGAAGACCTGGGTGGGTTTGGTTCCTAGCACCCACATGGCAGCTCACTATTGTCTGTAACTCAATGAATGTGATACACAGACAAATACACAGGCAAAATACCAATACACATAAAATAAATGAAAGTTTAAAAGTAAAAAAAAAATCTTTTAAAAAAACCCAACACTACACTGTCATACAAAATAATGCCACTGCCCCTGAAATCCTATTCTCCCCCATCCTCCTTCCCCAAAGCCCCGGCTAGCCCAGCTCCCTGGTCTTTCTCAGCAGCCACATAGGTAGGTTGGGCAGGTAGCCTTCCACACTGGCGGCTTTCTCTTAGCATGTGATCCGTGTCTCCCCCAGATCCATGGCTGGTTTCTTTGTGCTGGCCAGCAACCCACTGTGTGGATGCCCCCACATCCACCTTTCCACTTGGCTCCTTACCACTACCTGGTGGTTATGAATAAAGATGCTCTAAGATTGGGCTGGAGAGACGGCTCAGCAGTTTGGAGCACTTGCTGCTCTTGCAGAGGACCTGAGTTTAATTCCCAGCACTCACATGGTGGTTTACAATCAGCTGGAACTCCAGTTCCAGAGAATCTCATACCCTCATCTGACCTCTGTGGGCACCAAGCACAGATGAGGTACACAGACATACCCATGAAACAAATAAATTTAAAAACTAAACACAGATGTCCCAAAGTTCTGGGGTAACCAGCATTGAGTTCAGTGCCTTTGTAAATGAGGTGGCTACACTATATAACTTTCTTGGCTTCTGGTGATTTGAGTATAATGCCCATTTAACAAATGGAAAAATCTGAAAGTTTTAGCTAAAGGGAAGGGCTCCAAGATGCTGAGCAAGTCCCCTTCACCATTTTTGAACACCACAGGGCCTCCCTGCTATTGGCACTGTTGTGTAAACTGAGGAAAACTCCTGAGGAAACATGTGTTCCCTAACTTGGAGATGACTAGACCCTAACCTGTCAATCATCTGCTGTAACCCTGGGCCCCTCCCTCCCAAGGTCAGATGGGACCAAAGGCACACAAGTTCCTACCTGGAAGAGAGGTGACTAGAGCTGATGGAGTGATGGCCTCCCTAGGAGTGGAGTGCTTGGCCCTGCCCTGCCTAGCAGGATTACAACAGTACTCTCACCCAAACACATTGAGAGAGAGAGACTCAAGCACTGCCTTGAAGGCAGCTGACCTCAAACATCTGACCCTGTCCCTCCTGGAGCCTTCTTCCTCTAGGAAAAACAGTTCTGGTTTTTCTACCAAGGGGCACATGGGATTCTGTGACCACAAAAGTTGGTGTGGTTCAACAAGAGAGGCTGGGAAGTACAGGGCCTGGGGCTAACAGAGGCAGCCACTAGTACCCTGGCTTCTGCTTCACCATGGGGTCTTGGGAGGGTGTCCCTGCACTTCTGCCTTCTGTAGAATCACAAGCTTCCTTGGTCAACCTGCAGCCAAAGGCCTCATGCAATGACTCTGGCCCTCTAAGCACTCTTTCCCTGCCTCCCATAGGATTTGCAGGAACCATTGGTGTATATCTGGAGCTGAGCTGGGGCCACCTCCCAGGGCATGTGGGGTGCTCCTAGCCTTCCTGCTATTGTGATCCAGCCAGCAGGGGGTGAGTAAAGATACCATAAAGTTCACAAGAACTGGAGAGCACTACCCAGGGGCATCCTCCCTCAGAGGGGGGCAGATGACAAAGCCATAGTTGGCACTCGATAATCTGATCAAGTGGCCTGCTGCAGACCAGCTCTGCTTCTTTAGGTAATGCACTATCTTCAGGGATGTTCTCACCTGCAGCTAATGGCATCTATCCAGCTGGGAAGCAACATCCCTACTAGGGTGTTGCATGGGGTTTCCTACAACTACCTCTGTAAGAAAACACCATCTGACACGACTGGCAGAGGGGGCTCCATCTCAAAATGCATCCGCTAGGGAAACCTCCACAGAAGGCAGGTCCTCTGCCTCCCCTGTGGTGAGGGGCATGCATGGCACAGGCTGCACTGCACTCTGCTGAAGCCAGAGCTCGGGTACATGCGTGTCCTCTCAGGGCAGTGGAAGGCAGTGTGCCCTGCTGCTGGCTCACCTCGGAGGTTCTTGACAAAGTCCTCCAGCTTCATCTTGCGCTCAGGCTTGACATTGGGGCTGTACATGTCTGTGTTGAGCAGGATGATCGCGAAGGCCAGGATGAAGATGGTGTCTGGGTTCCGGAACTGCCGTACCACCCCAGGGTTGCAGACACAGTACCGCTGGCTGGGAGGATAGAGAACTGATCAGGGATCACCTAAGCCTTGCATTTGCACTGTCTGCCAATTAGCCCTAACCTTTGGCCCTGCTGCAGCCCCTCCCATCCTCATCCCAGTGAGACTGCTGGCTGCCCAGGAAAGACTCTGGGATTCAGGTGCTGCTCTGGGGATGATGTTCGCCCATGGGCCAGGCAGGTAATAGAGGGAAACCTTCAAGGCTGTGTCCCTCATTCTCTTGTCTGGAGTGAGGACATCTCAGTGGGGTGACATAGGTCACCAAGGACCATGGAGGAGGATGCCAGTTTCCTTCACTATGGCCTCAGTGCCTGCCTGAGACTTCTGCCTTCAGCAGCGGACCCAACACTCCATTCCTGCTCTGTCTCACTGATCACCACAGCCATCCTTCCCTCATAGCCTCTCACTTGGAGTCCTTATGAAGGGGCAGGGACAGAGCAGATGACAGCTCCTGTATGCAGCATAGCTGCAATCCAGCCTTCTCCAACCAGGCCCAGCTGAGTGCCACTCCCTCTGGGAAGCCACCCTGGAGTGGTCCCACTTCTACAGCTTGGGTAAGCCATGGATAGGAGCCATCTTTACCCCGCCTCAAGCATGGTGGCCCCGACATGGCAGGTCTGCACACTGTCCGGCGGGGATGACTAGAACTTCACTGTTGTACCAGGTCCCCATACAGGTGGGAGAAGGGAGGCACAGAGGTTAAGTGATCTGTATAAAGTAATGTAGCAGGGACGCGGTGGATTCAATGAGTAGCCCAGGACACATGGCTTTATAGCTTGTGTGATGGGTCACCATGAGACACTGTAGGCCTGGGAATGGAAAGCCAGCAAACTTTGAGACAGTCCTCAGAATGCTAGCAGTGAAGATATTCCCTCTGAGCCTAAGTTTCCACATCTGAAAAATCAGAATAAGGGCTGTCCTTCCAAACTACAACTGCCAGGAGCCAGGGGCCCAGCCCAGTGGTTTCCCTGGGACACCGGGAGCCATATATGCAGGAATACCTGTCCTGGTGTGGTCCTGGGTCCCTGCACAGCCATGAAGGGCATGCCCCTCTCCACTGATGTGATGCACCCCACTTTACCCCACACAGGGCCTGACCTGAATGCCTCGATGAGCCGCTCCACCTTCTGAGCCTCTCCCTGGACTCGGATGTGTGCCTGGAACTTCCGGAGGGCTTCATCTAGCTCCATGGCAGAGAAGTCCATCTCGTCCACAACACAGCTGGAACAGAGATGGATGGCCTGTGAGAGCAGCTGGGCCCATGGGATGGCACATCCAGTTTTGTCACGTGACAGAGCTTGGGCTTCAAAAGCCAAGCGTCCTTGAATCTATGGGGACAAACAGACTGCCTCTGGGAAGCCTGCCCCTCATATCCCCAGGCTTCTGAGGCCATCTAAATTCCCTGAAGTTTTAGGAGACATATGCTCTGTGCATCATGCTCTTCTCTACAGAGGAGCCCAAAGATGTGGCTCTTCTCCAATGGAGAGATCAGCACCCATTTATTCCATGGGTACACAGGTGCCAGACCAGGATGTGTGCCCAGGGAACATGATTGACAGAGCTACGTAGGAACCTCTCAAGGGCCACACTGGAGACTGAGCCATCCTAGTGTGAGGGAGCAGGGTGGGAGGGGAGACCGATACACTCTCGATTCTCTCCAAGATAAGGCTTCAGGAGAGAGGATGGGGCCTGGAAGGCATTTCCCAGGATGCCCTAGTGTCCATGTCGCCTCTGAAAGCAGTTGTAGCCACAAAGCTAGAGAGGACTGTGGTGGCATCATCAGCCAGGAACCTGTCTCTACTCCCAGGCCCATCCTGGGGGCCCAAGGAGTGCAGTAGGCAGGCAGAATCTGGGCACTTCAGCTTCTCTCCAGGAGGCCTAGGAGGCGGGCTGGGGGCCTGGCTACTTCCTGAGGCCAGTGCTATTTTCTAATGGGAGGAGAACAATGCAAGGATTTCCTGAGACCAGAAACCCAGTGGTGGGGGGTGGTAGGTGGGAACCTAAATGCTGTGGTAATGATCTGGTTTCCCTGCACCTTGCCCTCCATGCTGATTAGTGAGAGGAAGGGGATGAAACATGTGAGGATCACTGGAGAGGTCTGCTGTATGCATGCCCTTGGCCAAGAGGCGTCCACCTTCTGCTGGTGTCAAGTCTGGGCTAGCCTCCACCAAAGCTTTAGTCCTTTGATTTGTCACGTCTATGTGCATGTGCGTAAATGCAGGCAGGGTTTCTGCAGGAGAGTATCTGAACCCAGGCCCACCCCCTCAGATCTGGTGTCCTGTGTGAAAAAAGGCACCTCCCTGAGATGGAGGGGCAGGGGCAGCAGTCCTAGTCAAACTGAGACCACATTGCAGGACACCTACACTGGTGAGCTGTTCCATCTCTGTTCCCCGGCTGCTGTTGTCCTCGGCAAAGCACATGACAGGGACAACTATGTGCACCCTCCCCAATACTGACTTCTCCCTGGGCTCAGTATTTCTGCCAGTAGTAAAATCTCCCAGTCATAGGACTGGGGACAATCCTAGCAGAGATAGCTAGCAGGCCACCTGCACCAAGCACTGCTCTTACTCCTACCCACCTGTCTATATCAGTGAAGAGACACAGTAGAGAAACTATGCCCTTCTGCTAGGGGAGACAGCAGAACTACTCACAACAGAAAGCAGCTGGAGGATGGGCTCAGGAGACCTCCTCTCTGCAGGGTTTCCCACAGCCCAGTGTCATTTACTCTAACTTTCAGGGCTGTTGGAATGTGGGAGAGTGTCGTCCACCCAGAAAGTGGGATTACGGGTTAGGCACAGTTGGATGGACAGTTGTCCCGTCAAGGAGGCTACACAGATGTGGGTCACCTGAAGGTCATGTGTGATGGCAAGAAGCTTGGGGCGGGGGTGGATGGAGGGACTGTGGGAGGGTAGTGGAGACTACATTAGATACAGCTGGCCATGTGTACCAGGCAGGGTAGGGACATGGGAAATGGCATGGGGTGTTGGATTGGGCAAATGAGACTGGGTGGTAGAGGCAGGCGGTCAGTTCAGGCAGCTAGCTCTTCCCAACCTCAGATTCATCAACTGTAGGCCCCGAATAGGTCAAAACAAAACAAATTTTGGCCATGGTGAACACACAGACTTGCTTCTATCATTGCCCGCTAAACTGTACAGAATACAACTATCTACAGAACACTGGCATCATGTGGAAATGACCAGTGGCTGTGAGATACTGAAGTCTGCAGGAAGATGTTTGACAAACGGGTACTTTGGAAGTACCATGAGCATCTTGGGGTTTTGGTCTCTTCAGAGGGATTTAGAACCCATCCCAGGAAAGCAAGAGTCGACTCTATGTCCCAGCAAGCAGCAAGCCTGATGCTGCACATGAGTAGATGTAGGTGATGTGCATGTGAGGGATCCCATGTCTAACAGCATGTTATGCATGTGGAATGGGGCCCTGACCCCCCAGACTTACTCGAGCACATCACGGTTGAACTGCTTCTGCCGGTTTCCCAGGAACTCACCGATCATCTGGCGGCTGAGGCCCTTGCGTTGCAGCAGGAAGTGGGCCACCCCCACTGGCGTGTCAGGCACGAAGCCACGCTCAATGAGATACTGGATGCCCTTCTCAGGCTTCCTGGGTGGGATGGACAAGAAGAATACTCAGTAATGACTACTAGATCTCTGGAGTAGGTAGACAGGGTGGGTCTTCTAATAGGTGTTCCATAGCCTTCAACTCTGTTTATCTACTCCAGCCTCTGGCCCTTCCTTGTCCCCTGTCCCTCCTGTGCAGCATGGGTGCTGACTTCAGAGTTCGAAATAGCATCACTCTGCCTTGTCTGGTTCAAAGCCCTTTACTCAATTGCTTAAATTCCATGCTGGCACTGGGGAGGCTTCCGTGGGTGCTGGAGACATAACTCACAGAATTACCTATAGATACTTTTGCAATCATGAACTACACCACAAAGTGATATATTCGCTGCCTGCTCTTTCACATGGAAGCTGCAGACAGGTAACAAGGAGGGATCCTAACATTTGGTCATGGTTACTGTGTCCAGTTCTTGTGGAAGACCCATCTGCACCAATTCAGAGTCCTGCTCCTACAGCTCAGCAAGTGTTACCCTATGCGCCTGCGCGCGCGCGCACACACACACACACACACACACACACACACACACACACACACACACAGACACACACACTCAGCCTAAGTGTAAGGACAGCTAAGTCAGAGCTAGGGGTAGGGGGGGCCCCTGAGGGCAAGAGAGTCACAAATCTTAGCCCCAACAGGGCCCCAGCTTGGCAGCCAGGGCCCCAGAGCTTTACTAGGCTGGAAAAGCAGCAAGCAGCCTGCAAAGACAACCATAGCTCTGTCCTGATTGGGTCCCCTTTCTAACCTTATTTTGTATGCATATATTCATCCAACCAGGGCTGTACAAACAAAAGACTTAGTGAGAGCTCAATGGAGGAGGAAGAGACAGAAGACTGCCACAGACAGGAAAGGGAGATGCCTAGAGGCAGCCTCCAGGACCAGAGAAAGGCTAGTAAATTTGGGTGTGTGTGGGGGAAGACAACACTCATTCCTGCCTCAGCCATCAGAGATATGGGACTCCAGCTTCCACACTTGCTGGACCTGCTCCTGCTTCTCCTGCCAGTGACGCACTGACTTGCATGCAAACGGACCACTCATGGTTGGCACCCTGAAGTCCTCTAAGAACCCCAAATTTTAAGTCTCTCAGCTGGTACCTAAAGCCTTCTGGGAACACAGGCATGTCACTGCAGTTCTGGGCTTGACATGTAGAAACTAAGGCCACTGCAAATCCTGATGTGAAACACTACAAACCTCTTGCCAACCTGTTGCTCCCAAGGGCGTCAGCTGCTCCTACCCCATCCAAATTGTCACTCCCATAGCAAGATAAGTTTCCTTACTTTCCCTTCTGTGTCTGTACTCCCCACCCCCAAAGAAGGGAAGTGGGACAAGAAACTAACTGAAGGCAGGAAATGGTCCCTACCTACAGGTCCTGGGAAGAAGTACATACTCAGCACCAGGAAGCTTCGTGCTGAGCAAACTGTGCTGCAGAAGCAGAGCCAGAGGCACCACACTGTCCCCGCCCTGCTGGGAGGCCAGGGCTGTGGGAAGGTGTCTGGGACAGCACTGCTGGGTTAAGTGTCTTCCTCCATCCTGCCAGGGTATGGTCTCATTAGCTAGGTCCTCAGGGCACATACAGGTCAGACACAGCAGGTATAGACATATCCTATACCGTGTCCTGGCTCCAGGCCAAAGCATATTACCTTTGACACCTGGCTGGCTGTATGTAGGGCAATTCAAGGTCCAGGGAAAGGAGTATCTTCTGATGCAGATAGGCTTATTCCTGCCTTCAGCCTTTCTGACTTTGTGCAAATCTGAGCCCTCAGCTCACCTAGCAGGGAAGGTCTGATATCACAGAAGGATGACATGAGTGAGTTTGAAAATAGCTGTACAGGTGACTCTCAGGATATATGTCCTGCCCTGGAGGATCCACAGACCACTTGACGCTGTGTGGAATGCCTAGGGATCAGAGTGGCTCCCATTCCCTCTGTCCACAGCCCCTGAGAACTGTTAAGCAGTGAGGTGTGCTCTAGAGTCAGCCCAAGCATACCCAGCCCTATTCCCATTAAGTGTCGAGACCACACTCCCTTATCCCAATGAGTAAAGGTCTATTCTTCTGTCTTCTGGGTAGGAGACAGAACAAGTGCCAGTGTCTACTGGTCCTTTGACAGCAGTATCCTGCAGATGAGCTGAGTCCATGAAGCTGACCAATCATGTCCTGGCACAACTGGTAATGAAGTAGCCCAAGATGACCTGGTCCTTTCCCCACCCCAGTGGGTACTCTGCCCCCTGCTTTGGGCAAATTCTTACTTTTTATACAGAGGCCTATGGTATCAGGGCTCCTAGACATGTTCATCTACCCAGGAAAGTGGGGATGTTCTACAGGGTACAAGGCTGTGGCATCTCCCAGGGCACCAACTCAGAGGTCAAGGTGTCAGGCACAGAGCCTGCTGTGGACATTGGGCTGGTGGCATGGCCAGACCCTTAAGTACAGAAGAGAGGGTCTTTCTAAGCAAGGCCTAGGGATACCCTCTAGGTAGAGGTCCATGGAGAGGCTGAGGGTCCCAGGCTAGCAGGAAGGGTAGACAGCAGATGAGTGGGCTTAGAGACCTGCATGCCTGGAAGAGGATGCTTCAGAGTCAGTTCTAGTGTTCTAGAAGCTTCCCCTGGCTAGTCTGTGAGGACCAGAGCCAGGGCACCATACTAGCCAAGCTAGGAGCGCTCTAGCACCTAGTCATTGTACAGAGGAAGAGCAAGGTAGAGGCTAACTTGGAGCCTGGTTTCTGCTGCTCTGCTGTGTGTGTGTGTGGTGGCCAGGGGTACAGGTAGAAGGGCAGACTCACTGGCCTCCATGCAGGTGAACAGCCATTTGGCTGGATATGCATGCTATGTAGCCCCTGCTATGGATTAACCTTGCAGTCCTTCTCCCACTATGAGTGAGGCAATCCCTGCCCTATGTGGACATAGTGGCCTCTATTCAGGCTTCCCTACAGAAAGAAAGCCAAGAACCTGATTTGGTCTTTGAATTGTAAGAGGGGTGTGCCACAGTCCTCTTTGGCTACCTGCCATAGGTCAACCGAGTCTCCACCCTCCAAAACCATGTTTTCTCATTGGTGTGAGGTAGGTAGTGACCTGGCTGTGGAGTGACAACAGGAAGCCTAGGCTTACATCTCAGCTCCATTTGCTGGCTGGGGACCCTGGGGCAAGTTACTTTACCTCTCAGGGGCCTTTGTATCCTAAGGATGACTGGGTCACCTGGCAAGAATGAAGCAGGAAGTTCAAGCTGGAATCTTCCATTCAGCCCCTGGGAACTGTGCAGACTATAAGGAGGAAACAGGCCAGGTCTGAGCAGGACCAACCACAGGGACACCAATAGCAGCCTGGACAAAATGTGTCTTCAACTTCATGGCTGGAGAGACTGGGGCCTTCTGAGGTGCTGTGTAGGGAGTCAGGAAGGTCGCTGGTGGAGGGAACCACTCTCTTTAGAGACAACAAAATGAGGGGCCAGAAGAGTCAAGTCAGTCAGTTCCAGGGTGCTCAGCAAGACACTGCCAGGTCTTTAAAATACTCCGTTGCCTCAGGGAACCCCCAAGCCTCTCTCAGCCACCACCTAGATGCCGCAATGGAAAGTCAGCTTCCTAGAGTACAGACTTCCAGGACTCAGCACCAGAAAGTATTGGCTTCTGCCTCTAAGCCTCATTCACCTCATCGCCTGGACCTAGAAATCTTTCGAAAATGGGTGGGAGGTTAGCCGTGAATTCACTCATAGTTCTACCCTGCTGTCTACTTCCAGGTCTGGTGTGCCTGCCTCCTCTAAGAGTGGCTAAGCCAGCTTTCCTAGACATCATGCTGATCCAGACTCAAGTATGACCCAGAGTCCACATTTGTTGCAGTCACTTCCCTCTAACAGCCCCTCAGTCTCTTGTCGTCATTCCATTACAAGCTCTCAGTGGCAAGAGCAGCTATGGATGGCTCTGAGTGAGGACAAGAATAAGAAGACTGTGAAATGACCTTATGGAGCATGGGTACTCATCTGCCCCTCCCACAGTCAGCTGCACAGAGCCAAGAAGAGCCTCCAAGGCCTCTTCAGTGGTAGGAGGTCTGATTGCAAAGGCTACGCTGAGCATGATGACAGCAGCCACCCCTAGTACCTCCTGAGATGGCAGCTGCAGGCCAGGCCTTTGCCCCTTTGTCTCAAATCCTGTCCAAGTCCTGGGATCATCAGCCCACACCCATTTTTCAAGTGTGCCAAATGAGGCTCAGAGACCCAGGGATACACTCCAGGTCTTGGGGTAGATCAGTGGTATAGCCGGTCCCCTTCTGCCTGGAGTTTCTGGATTCCTGCTCTCTCTGAGAGCTGCCTACCAGATGTGCTGCTGGGGCCTGGACAGGGGGCTGAGCATCCTGGAGCCTGACAGAGGCCCAAGGACATCTGGAGGTGGCAGAGCCTCCTTAGTGAGGCCCTCACTACTTGCCTCACTTTCCCAGCTCTCCCATTACATTTTCTTTTACTGATTCTCTCACGGTGGGTCACCATGCAGCCCTCCGTAGACTCCTAGAGGGGTTCTCTGGACAGATAAGTTTCACTTGCCAGAGAGGGAGTAAGACCTATGTGTCCTGGAGGGGACACAGGTGTGCAGGCAAAGGTGGGGCCTGAAGGGATGGCAGTAGTGAGGACAGGAGACCAGAGACTCTTGGGAGAGTCCTGAGCAGTAGCAGAGGAGGCAAGCAGGGGGAGTGAAGTCAGAGGGGAATGAAGGTTGGGTTTTAGGGCTGGGGCCTGGCATCGTACTGGGACTGCTGAAGACCAGTGGAGGCCTGGCTCAAAACTCCAGGCCCTAGGGCAAAGCAGTTAGACTCCAGCCCAGCCATGAGACCTTAGGCTCTCCGATCTATCCCTGGAAGGGCCCTGGGGTTCTGTGAACTAAACTTTGAGCTGCCAGCCAGTTCTGAGCCCTAGAGCTCTTCCTCACATCTATGGAAGAAATTTAGAAATGGACCAAAAGGCTCTAAGACTAGCAAAGAGGTCCAGCTTAACTGGCAAAGTTACAGCAACATGGCTTCTCTCAGAATTTCCAATGCTCCCTGACCTGGCATCATGATTGGAGTGAAGGAGGAAACTGAGGCTGGGTGCTTGTTAGTGGCTGAGCTGGGAACCAGTCAGGGCCTTGGTGTTTATTCCACCTGGAACCTTACTGCTTCTGCCAGTGGCTACGAGCTAGAGCTCTCAGAACCAGAGCTGCTGCAGGCTGCCCTGGCCTGGCCTGTTTCACAGCTATGTACCTACCCTGGTCTCCAGTAACCACACATGGCTAGTGCCCCTGGAGAGCTAAGTTAATTTTCATTAGTTTTAATTAATGCATGCCCCTAGGTTGGGCCTTCCAGAGATGTCTCTGCCATTGTAAAGGGGCTGTCTTTCTAAATTCACCTCCAATCTGGAGGTAGCTCCAGTTTCCACTGAAAGATCTCAATGAGGTGGTTCTAAAATTCACAAGGAAGAACTAACTGTGAAGGGTGTAACAATGGAGAGGTCCTTGCCTTAATACCATGACACATGAGGGGCTTCGGAGATGGCATTTGTACACATATATACATGGGAGCACACTTGTGTATCGGCGCCTGCACACGCATGAACACGCACATGCGCAGCAGATGTATGAAGGCGTGAGGGTTAGACATGACAGGCAGGTTGGCATTTGGCTCAGTGGTGAGCACTTGCCTAGCCTTTGTAAGGCCCTTGGTTCAGTCCCCAGCAGGGCAAAATAATTAGAAGACTAGAAAGCCAAACGTAAAAAGAAAAAACAATTTCAAACACAAAGGCACTGGTGGCTAGACTAAGTGAAATTAAACACATCCATCAGATAAGAGCAGTGCAGCTAAAGCTAATTAGATGCTTCACAGGGTCCTTCTCATTGTGTTCAAATTATATCTACAAAGAAAACTCTAAGAGAAAGACAAGGAGGCAGCAGGGGACATACTTGTGATTCTGAAAGAGATCCTTAAGAAGACCTCTTGATGACAAAGCCTCAAAAGTGACAAACATTGAACATCAGGAAGCTGAGGCAGGAGGGCCATGAGTTCAAGGCCTGCTGGGGCTGTATAGTGAGCTCCAGTCAAGCCCGGGAAATTTAGTGAGATCCTGTCTCAAAATATGAGGGAAGTACTTGCCAGTGGTCCTAAATTCAAGATGAACTGGAAAAAAAAAAAAAAGGTGATAGTGAAGAAATGGACAAATAACCTGAAAAGTGTGTTATAACAACGAAATAAGAGAGGTGCTAGTAGATGGTGCCTTTAAAGTAAGCAGAAAATGCAGATTACAGTGACGTAATCTATACTCGGCCCAGAGGAAGCAGGACAATACAAAATGGTGTGGGTAGAGAGCAAGCACTCAGATCCAGGGGTGGGAAACATGAACTCGGCAGCTCCGACGCCAAAGGAAGTCTCTACCCAGAAGCCTACAATTCCAATCAGCTGCCATCCTGAGAAGGCACTGGGACAATCCACACACAGTACCATGTTTCCAGAGACATGAAGAGGCTGCAGTAACAGGTTAACAGCCTTCGGAGGACCATGCTGGGGTGCACCCCATGTGGCACACAGCAAAGAAGGTCCATTATCACCAGCAAGCAAGACCTTTGGCATGCAAGACCTTCAACAGCCGACCTCTGAGAGGTCCTAGGTTGAAATCATCTAGCCCAGGCCACAGTGATGGGAGCCAGGTCAAGTAACAGCAATGTACATGTTTGTCCTTGTACTCTGCATATACCAACCTTGAATTCTTAAGAGTCTGGAAGGAGGTGTCATCACCAGCCCTGTTTCACAGATGGAGAAAACACATAATAGGTCCACAGAGAAAAAGACCTGGATGGGCTTGGGGAGACATTTCAGTCATCAAAGAACTTGCTGTGCAATTATAAGGACCTGAGTTTGACGTCCAGCACCCATGCAAAGAATCTATCTATCATCCTGGTGCTGGGGAAGTGGAGACAGGAGGACTATGGGGCTCACTGGCAGGCCAGCCTAGCTGAATCACTGACTTCCAGGATTAGAGACTCCATCTGAAAAAGTAAGTAGACAATACAAGAGGCCACCTGACATCAACCCCCGGTCCCCACATGCATGCACCATGCATACAGGAGATCTCCCTCTCTCACACTCGCACACACCTGCACGAACACAAAGCAAAGGCTCCCACAGTCAAAGATGACACAGCCTGAACTGTAAGGCTTCTGCTGTCAGGCAGGATATATTTGTGTGTTACACACATAATTAAGCAATGATAGATCAAGAAAGAATCTACAAAGGCCAGAGATGGTTGGTCAAGGAGATTCTTTCTCTGCCTCCTATACCCTATTGCTGGCCTCCACACATCCACTCTGCTGTAACCCTTACTGCCCCAGCCTGGACTGAGAGGCAGTACTGGAGCAGGGTAGTGTATGGGAGTAGTAGCAAGGCCAATGTAGGGCACATGGACTAAGCAGGACACACTCATTAGTGACTTGTGGGCTCTGGCTGTGGCTTGCACAGTGGCAGGTTGGCTCTTACATGTAGCAGGCTGCAGTAAGGGAAGAGGTTACAGAAACTACTGTTGTAGCAAATGTGAGGGATCTAAGACTCAGCTCCCGGAGGCCTCCATGAGGGCTATACACCACACCCTCTCCACCAGGCCCCTCTGTTATCCCAGTCCATCTGCCCTGCTAGGGATGCTCAAAATCACGCCATCCTGTCTTGGAGGAGCAGCAGGGAGCAGTGAGGTGGGGCTCAGATGTGGCTGGCCCCCACTGTGCCCCACTACTCTCCTGTGGTCCTTCTGGGAAACTCCTAGGGTGTATGCTTGTAACCAGCAGGCAGGCTAGTCACATGCTTTCCAGGTCCACAGCCCCCAGGGAGACCACACCAGTTTGGCATCTGATGATCCCAAATCCCAGAGTCCACAGGGAAGGAAACATGAAATCTCAGGTTAAACAAGAGCTGCCAAGGTCCCCTCTGAGGGTGTACTCAGCCCTCCCCACTTCCCATGCTATTTTTGACCCTGCTAAGAATAGTTTACTTTAAATATCCACCTCTTACCATGGCTTGGCTCTCAGGACCGCCTGGCTACACCTTCCCTCAACCTCTCCAGAGCAGCCACTCAAATGGCCTAGTCCACTGTTCTGTCAGTGGCAGCCTTTGTTCAGGAGCCCCCCTGCCACCAGCTTGTTCCAAGACCTTTATGCTTCATATTGGCCCTGAACCCAGCATTTGAGGCTTGAGCCAGCTAACACATGGGTGGGCATGATGGGTAGGGATTTACCACAGAAAAGTCCCCATTCTACTGTCTGGCCCAGGAACACCTGCCACCTCCACAAATGGCCCTTGGAAGGAGCTGGGTCTCCCAGGACTCAAAGTAACCCCAAGCATAAACATGGCACAGCATCCTGCCTGGACCTTACAAAGACTGCCTGAAACTTGAGCCTCAGTGCAGGTGTGTGCAGAGGCCACAGTAGGAAGGAAGGTGAATGTGCCTCTTGCCTACCCTGCCTGGGCCCAGGGTTGTGACTACCAAGGACATGCAGGTCTGTCCTCCATGCATGAAGGGGGAACTCACTTGTTGAAGAGATTCAGGCCAATTCGGTAATGCCTCTTACGGATGACATCATTGCTGAAGGCTGGAGAGTCCCAGCTGTTGCGGGTCTCTTTGTGGTATGTCTGCTTGCTGAGTGTCTGTTCTCGCAAGCTGTCCCTCGATGAGGACTCAGAGCTGCAGTTTATGGTGTCGTTGGAGTTGGATGTGCTGTTGATGCTATCATTGTCCCCATCTGAGTAATCAGACTCAGACTTGCTCTGCCGGTTGGCTGAACCATTGATGGCCAGGTGGCTCTCGAGAGGTCTGGGGGGCCGAGGCCGCAACTCAGGCTCCTCTCGGGGGATGCCTTTGGGAGGGCCACCGTGGGGGCCATGCTTGGGGCTGCTTTGCTGTCCACCAAGGCTGCGCTCATAGGCACTCTGCCTCTTGAGTGAGCTTCGATCTGAGCGGTCACTGAGTTCCACAGAGCTGTCACTGGGTGGCTCAATGGTAAGCAGGGGAAGGTGCTCCACTCTCAGCCGTGGTTCTGGCCGCTCCAGAGATGGTGTGCTTCGGCAGCTCGTGTCTGTGTCAGCCTTGTCCTCCTTGTGGGCTAAGGCCCAGTAGTCCTGGGCTGTACCCCCTGCCCTGAGCCGCAGGTCCGACTCTGTGCTGGAAGGCCGATCCCCAGCCTGTGAGAGTGGTAGAGGTGGTGACAGCTCTTCCTCATCAATGTAGAGGGTAACATCACTATATGAGGCTGTCATCTCATCCAATTTGTGGTGGTCCATGCCATGCAGGCCTGGCTTGGGCTCAGTGTCCCGGGCCCGTGCTGTGTCTGGGGCTGGTACCTCCTCACTGTGTAGGCTGCGGCAGTTGAGGGCATCATCGATGGACTCAGCTAGGGACTTCACCTGCCGGGAGAACGCATCCTCCAGTTCTGTGATGGCATCTGCAAAGTCACTGGAGGGTGCTGGAGACTTGAGGGCTGGGTCGCTAAGGTCTCCACATTCTGATGGCACCAGGGCCCCCAGCTGGGAACCATCATTGGTCACAGAGACTTGCTTGCCCTCAAAGTAGGAGCTATGCACCTTCTCGGGGCCCTCGAAGGAGAACTGCATCCTCATGTTGGACAGCACGATGCGGCGTGACATGCGGTTCTCCGACATGGAGCTGCGCAGGCGCTCAAAGTTCTTGTTCATTTGGTACTGGCGGAACGCCGTCTGGATGGTGCGGGCTGCATGGCGGGTCACAAGGCGTCCCCCATACTTGCGTTCTAGCATTTCCACCTGGTGGGGTAAGGAGAGGAGAATGTGGGCCCTGTGTGATGGCACAAAGATAGATATTGACCTTTTCTACACTCCAGAGGGATGTAACCTGGGATGGTCTCATCACATCTGCAAGGTGCTTAAAACAGAAGCTTGGGGCTGCTGGAGGTTTTCAGAGTCAAATGGAACAAGTAAGTGTCAGGATAGTGTAAAGGTGGCAGCACACATGTGCTGAGAATCCCAGTACCTCTGGCCATAGAAGCCATGGGCCCTGGAAGTTTTCTGAAGATGTACCTACAGATATGACCCCAGAGCTGGGGAACCTGAGGCAGGACCTAGTCAGAGGGCTGCCTTGGCTCTGCCTCTCATCAGCTCTAGATGAGCTTTGGAACCATGAGTTCCCCATTTCCTTAACTGTGACAGGGCAGCAGAAGAACCCACTTTCTAAGGCTCTGGTAAGCCCACAGTGATGGAAGGCAGATGCTTGGCACAGGATGAAGACTTCAGTCCCATTCGTAGGTGGCAGTTGCAGTTGTGAGATCTCTGTCCTTCTTGCTACACAGAAGGCTGAGCTGAGGCCTAGGGAAGACTGGCAAGGTTGGCTCTCCCTCTTTGCCCTATGGCTCCATGAGCTCTGATGGGCATGGTTGTGAGTTGGGAGGGGTGCTGGGCAAACTCACAGGCACCTCAGTTCAACATCTCGCAAGAGTGACCCATGGCCTCCTGAAGTCTCAGGACTCACAGTCTGCCCAGCCTGAGGGCTAACCCTGAGTCTGGATCCTGGCTGAGTAGGAAACACACTCAGCTCTAGTCTGGTCTGCAGGAATCAGCAATCTGTCTCTGGCTGCTGGGGCAGGGCTGTATCTATGTGGGGGTGAGGAGAGGGTTCAGTTTCACACGCAGGATGAGGTCAAATCCTGATTCCACCAGGCTGGTACTACGAGCCTGCATCTCATCATGTATGGCAATGCAAAAGGGAGACATACAAGGTCCCTGCCCTGGGGAAGCAGAGAATGTGTGAGGTTAGAAAGATGCACATTCTGAGAACACCAGAGACACTGAGCACAGCCAGGGCTGTGACCCAAGCCTGGGAGAGACCCCTCTGCACACCATCTCAGGGCTACCAGGAAGTGGCTTGAGGGACAGCCAGGAAGCTCTGTGGGGTTCTTTCCCTGCTATCCCGAGATGACTGTGCTGCCACCCCAACAAGCAAAACTACTACTGGCTGAGTGGTCAAAAATCTCAGGGTCAGGAAGGAACCAAAGCTGAGCCTAAGAAGCCCCCACCTTCCCTTCCTCCCTCCCTTCCATCCCCTGCCTAAGAAGGCCTTGGCCTGGAATCTCTGCCAAGGACTTCAGAGATACCAGAGTCACCAAAGCTTACTCCAGGGCCTTCCTTGATGCCTTGGACCTTGGGGACTTGGGTTCATCCTGCTTTCCAAGTTCCCTAAATCTGTGTATATTGTATTAAATGATGGCTCATAAGGAGGGTAGAAATGGGCTCTGTGGTGAGTCACCAAGAAAGCCCCTCTGCCCCTCCTCTAAGCGGACACTATGTGGCCCAACCCCATTCTCTCACTCCTGAACGCACCATGGCTACCCTGCCTTCTGGTCTGGAAGTGACATGAGGCCCCATCTATAGATCTTCTGGGATGCAGAGGGGGGAAAAACAACTAACGGTTGCTACCCATGGGATGCCAGGGACTGGACCATACCCTCACACGGTTCTTACCATACTGAGACTACGGACTCCCCTATCCCTGCTCTCAGATGACATGAGGGAAGCCAGGAGCCAGGCTTCACAAGTTAGTGGCAGGGAGGTCTACCCTGGGGCCAGGGCTCACCCTTACAGGCTCAGTTGCTGAGGATTATCTCAAAGCAGCATGCATGAGGATCCAGAAGCATTGCCTTCCACAAACACACCTGCCACCACTCAGAGACTTGAGGTCATTCCCTGGTTCCTCTTGCTCTCAGGGGTGGGGTTAAGGAGAATGCATGTGACTTCCCTAAGATGGGACTCTCACTTTCCTCTCACAATTCTCATGCAATCTACCCCACTCCTACTTTTGCCTTGCCTGCCAGGAAGCTTGGCAACATGGAATACTACATGGCTGCTAATGTTAACTCCTCTTGCCTCTGCCAACTCTTTACTGCCACCTTTTCTATCTCTCACATACACCAAGGTTGTTCTTGTCCTAAAGCCTTGGCGCATATGGTAAGCTCTTCTCAAATGCCCAGTTTTCAGGCCAGCTACCGTCATGCAATACAGCCAATACTCAGAGTCCCTCTACTTCTTCCTCCAGAACTAAGACCCCCCAGGGTCTGTGTCACTTCCTGCAGTAAAATGTCTTAACTGCTGACTTGCTTGTCCATCCACTGTCCAGGAATGTCACTCAGGTGCAGCAGCCTCATCTTGCAGGCTGTCCCTATCCCATTATCTGGCACCAGGGGAACTTCAACTATGGATGGAACGACGGTGAACAGCTGCATATTTGTGGCATGTAATCATCCCTACATGCCGGCTCAGCCTTGACCCATTCTATTTCATGGTCCTGTGCAGATGACTTTTACGACAAACCCTTCAGGGATCACTCTGGATCTCTACAGAGCTGAGAAACCCAGTAGAGGCTGTTCCGGCTGCTGCTGGCCTGGCAAAGGAATCAAGGTCCACAGTGGTGGAGTATCTGCTACTGGGCCCCTTGTGAGTCTCAACTGACAGGAGGAAAAAGCATGTGAAGATAGGAGGGCCGGGCTATCCTGTGCCACAAAGCATCACCCCAGGTATGAGAGGTCAAGATTGAGGGGCGTCTGACAAGGGAGAAGATCCACCCTGAGGGCACCCTGCCATACCCTCAGGAAGATGAGGCTACCTAGACCTCTGTTCCTTCAAGGACTGAGGCCCTTGGAGAGCAAATGGAACAAAGTGGCCAGCAGATATAGATGGGAGGAAGAGCACATCTGTGGGCTGTGGGAAGGGGTCCTGGTGTCAGTTCATGACTGAGGGATTGCCTGGGAGACATGAGAGCCCAAAGCACAAGGCCCAGAGATGTTCTGCTTGTCCCTACACATCCATGCAGCTCAGAGACAGTCAAACAGCAGGCCTTCATTCCCGTACCAGCCTGTTCTCTGCTGGGCACCTACACCGTGAGGATCTGCTCTGCTCACAGCTGTCAACAAGCAATCCAGATCCAAGATCTAGGCAGGACCCCTGGCAGCTGGAAGACTGCCATCAGAGATGCAGAGAGACTTCTGCTGATGGATGTGGGACAGAACTATAACAGAGGCAGCCATGGACATACCAACTAAAGTGGTGACACTGTGGGATTCTAATGAAGGAGAGGAACCCCCCCCCCACACACACACCCTTTCAGCTCTAGGGGAGAAGAGGTAGGGTCAGAAACTGCTGACCCATTTCCCGTGGTCATGTTGTGAACATGGTCACCCCTAGACTGCTGGCCACATTGGGACTAAAAACACAACTCTGAGCTATGTTCACTGCTGTGCCCTTGGTTCCCAGGCTAGAGGCTGGTGGTCTACACACACTAGGCATTCAATAAACCACAGAATCTTAGTACTGATGAGACTAAAGGCCCAGACTCCTTTTGCTCTCTTGCAATATGAGGATGCTGGAACAATAGGACAGGAATTCAAACACTGGATGGGACAGCTGAGGAAATGTCCAGGGTCTTGACCACCTGTGGGGTCTGATTGTGACTTCCTCTAGAGATTGTGAAGCCACAAGCCAAGGGAGACATAATAAGTACCCTCCCCAAGGCCTTTCTTGGGCCCTAAGAACCTCCATGACCACCTTGGCAACCTGTGGCTTGGTGGTGCTGGGCCATGACACTCAGATGCCCAACACATGCCCCAGATCCTAGAAATCAGGGATATGGAAGCTTACAAAGGCAACATTTGAAGAGGATTCTGTAAGTCCCCAGAAAGAATATCAGTATCTCTGGCCATCAGTGTAAATCCCTTCCCACATTTCTACAGAGCTACCCTCATCCTCAGATGTACACCCCAGCTGGTATCTAGAACCCATTGCTAAGAGCACCTGGCAACTGAGGCCTCATGTTACTTGGGAGGCCATGAATGGTGGGCAAGGACCCCTGCCACCTACCTGCTTGTCTTGCAGATCTGAAGAGAGCTCATAGCTCTCAGAGAGTGACCGAGAGCGCTTGATGGCCTCCTCCTCGGCCTGCTTGCGCAGGACGGAGGTCGAGTGCTGTAGCCGGGGCCTTCGTGTGCGCTGTTGTGGTCCTGACCCTGCGTACAGCCCATAGGCACTCACTGATGTGTGCTCGTAGTGGTCTGGGCTCAGGCTGGAACCAGGTACCAGGGGACCCTGGTGGTAGGCCGAGGGGCTGTCCAGCGATGTGCCAGTCTCGCTGCTGGGGGCCTCACCCTCAACACTGCAGAGGAGAGAGAGGAGAGACACATGCTAAATAAAGAAGCAGAATTTAGGGAGCAAGGCAAGGAAGAGTGCCCCTAGGTAGCCAGGGACAACGCAGAGCCCTCTGCTCTGCATCTTCCTGGAGCTTTTGAACAACTTCCATGCTCTAACATCTGGCATACTGTACTGGGTGGCTGGCTTTCCAACCAAGTATCAGCCCTCCAAAGACAGAGGTTTTGACCCACCGTGGTGCTGATGGCCCCCAGCACTTAGAACAGAGGCTGGCCTGTGCTAGGTACTCATTAGGTTTTGAAAAAATAAGATCACTACCTCTGCTGTCACCTGAATCAAATGTAGGGCTGGTACCCCCATATCCCCATGACTACATTTGGAGACAGGATCTTTTAAAATTAATTTCTCTTTATTTTACATATATAAGTTTTTTGTCTGTCTGTATGTATGTATCTGTGCTTGCAGAGGTCAGAAGAATGTATATCTCCTGGAGCTAGAGTTACAGATAGTTGTGAGCCACCATGTGGGGTGCTAGGAACTGAACCAGGTCTTCTGGAAAAGCAAGTGCTTTTAACAGCTGAGCCCTGGAGATAGGATCATTCTAATGAAAGACATTAGGGTAGATCCTAGGACAACTGAACTGATACCCTTCTAATAAGGGAAATGCAGGATACAACATGTATGGGGGAAGACAATGTGAATGCCAAGGAGAGAGGCTCAGGAGAAGACAGCCAGGCAACGCCTCCATCACACACTGGAAGCCTCCAGAGCCTGCAGATAATAAAGGCCTGTGAGTGAGCATTTGTCATGGCAGGCTTAGAAGCAAACACGATATTGCACAAGTGTTTTAAATTTTAACACTCCCTGCAAAGAGGAACCATAAATCCCTGTACAGGTAAGGAAACTGAGGCTGGTGTAAACACTGTCCCAGGTACCACACATAGACAGTAAGTAGGTACCCTTCCACCTCACTGCCTTTTGCTCCACAGAGTACCTTCATGCCAAGCAGGAGCAAGGCTAACCAGTGGGGACAGAGGGACTGGCTGCTGACTCATCCCAGCCCTGGGCCTGGAACATTCTATTCTGCACAGACACTCGTTTCTTCTGCAGTCGCTTTTCAATGAGGGATGGGAAGAAAAAGGAGACATAGACTTGAAGAGTCTCTAACAGAAGCCCTCATCCTTTGCCAGGCTCCCTATCCCCGTGCGACGAGACACCCGGGCACTGTCAGGAACTTTAAAAGGCCTGTCTTCCCTGGGGCAAGGCCGGGGGGGGGGTCTTTAAAATGGGCACAGAGAGAAAAGAGCAAGGGCCCCACCCAGGCTGCAGTCCTTTCCAAAATGTTCCCTCTTCAGACCAATGAGGAATGTCCTGCACTAAGCAGCCTGGCAGACAGGCTGCCCCTGCTCAGCTCTGCTATAGTCCTGTTGTTTGTTCTCCAGGGGTCCCCAGGGTGGGGCCTGTGGAAGGGAGCCTGAAGCAGGGGTGCCAAGGCTGCCTGCCCTTGGACTCTGATCACTCTGCACCAGGGACAGCAGCAAATCTCAGTGCCTTCTTCTGGTCTATGGCTTAGAAACAGGGCTTCTGAGACAGCAACTGCCTCCGGCCTCCAAAGAAGGCACTGGAGCCTCCTAACACACCCCGGTGGCTAAGGATGACAGCCATTCTTTGAGGAGGACCTGGATGAAGAGTTGGGAGACACATGCTTTGCCTGGTGCTGTTTACAGTTCCTTTCAGTAGTACTAGTAACTTAGTCCAAGAAACACCACCCTTCAAGGCTCTCTAGGTACCAGAGAGAACCACCTGACCCCCTTTTGCACCTGTACTCCTGACCCAGTGTCCTTTGGGCACAGTGTGGGGGATGGGGTGGGGAGGGACTGCTAGATCTGAAAATTCTCCTACTGTCGGCTGGAACTTGGTCGGCACTTTTCATTATATTCTCAGAACTTCAACCAACTGTCACAAGTAAGAGAGACATGTACCATTAGAATTAGGCCACCCAGGGTATGAAACAGCAGCCTCCACTGGAAAAGCCCACCCATGCTCTCTGACCCCAAAGCTGGGCCCCACTTCAGTCAAGTGGGTCAGCCCACACAGGGATGTATGTGTGCTCCTCAACTGAATGCATGTTCTGGTTAGGGGCTGGATCTGTGTGTACTGAGCTGGAGGAAATACAGCCTGTGACTTCTGTAGGGTATTTCAAACCAGCTGAGCCCCGGATCCTAAGGCAGAGAAGACAGCAGTCACCACCACAAGGGGGTCAATCAGAGAAGAGTGGGCTTCGCCTGGTTATGGTGCTGGCCCTCAAGCCCAGGGTAGAGGAGCAGTGGTTGGAGGGATTCAGTCTTTTCTTGTCTGGCCTGAGAACAGCTTCAAGAGCAGGGCATTCAGTGTTCCTTGGCCATGTGCCTTCGAGCCTGGGAAATCCAGCCTACCCAGTAGGCTTCAGTTTGGGGCAGAGGCATTAAGGACAGAGATTTATCCCAGCTGGCTTTGCCTCCATGGATGAGACATTAAAGTGGGTGTCTGCTCTGGAGAGGGTAACTGCTCTGGAGAGGGATAGGACTAGGATAAGAGAGGTCAGGGACAGTCAGGAGCTTTCTGGAGCTGCATTACTGCTCTGGGCAGTTTTGGACCAATAAGTTTCCAGAATATGCTTGGGAGAGAAGGCCAGGTCTCTCCAGAACTTCCCCTCTGAGAAGGAAGGGGGGTGAGGTCATCAAAAAGCAGCTCATCAGTGCCTCTTCCAGAGCCAACCCAGTCTCACTCAGCTGGGGTCACCTGTCAAGTCTATATGAATGGAGCTGTATGGTGAAACAGGCTTTCCACAGTCCAGAAAAAACACACCCAGGATCAGAGAGAGAGTTCAGCAGGTAAAGGTGCTCTCTGTCAAAGCTGACAGCCTGAGTTCGATCCCCAGGACCCATAAGGTGGAAGGAAAGCCTACTCTCCTTTAAGTGTCCTCTGATCTCCTTACACATGCCATGGTACACACATACACACACATGAAAATGAAATAAACATAATTAGGGGAAAAAAAGCCCAGATCCTGCTCTAACCTCCACCATTAAAAAACAACAACAACAACAAAAAAAAAAAACCACAACTCTGCTGCAGATGTGAGAACAAACCCAGCACCCAGGACCTTCCCCACGTACCTCAAATACCTGTTGTAACAATACAAATCCAAAGCCACAGTAGAGGCTTTCCTTTATTGGAACATTTCTGATTTGAGAGGGGCAAAGATAACCCTTCGAAGCAGAAAGGCCCTTGCTGCCAAGCCAATGAGCACGGACACTCTTAGACCCACTGATAGGGCAGGCATGAACAGGGCTGTACCATTCTACTCTGGTGGACACCTGGATATCCAGGGAGAGACCCGGGGTGACTTTTCCCTGTGGCATCTTCCAGAGCTTCTTCACGAGGTTGATTCCATTCCACCACGTATTCTTTGGGGGGAAAGGGGGTGCAAGAACCGTCTGTTCCTATTGAAAAACAGCCACAGAGGCTCACAGTGTCTAAGATACAGCAAGTTGCACTCGGATTTTTCTACTGTGCAGTGAGTTTGTTGGAGAGCCAAGACATCAACTTATAATACTTCCAGTTAGAACATATTTCCTAGAAAATCACCATGTTGTAAGTGGAAGAGTGTTCTGTATGTTAGCCTCCATCCAGGACTCTGGGGTGACAACAGCCACATCAGTCCCTACATCCTGACTTGGCACCTCCTGAGCCCTGGTTCTATGTCCCATCCTCCCTCCAACCCAGTTCAGCTCTCCTGGGAGGCTTCTCCCTAAAGCCAGGTCTGTCAGAGTTGAACACCTCAGGGTATGCAATCCTTCTAGGCACATGTTAAGCCAAGACAGACAGACACACAAAGGGGTAGATATAAAGATTTTCACCACACTGTGGTCTCTACGCATGCAAGATTAGAAATAAATATAGATGCCCACCTAAAAGGTACTGACTGCAATTACTTTTATGCCCACACAAGGGAACTAATGACAAGATGCGGAAGATCTGACCTGACAGCTGTTCTTGTGAGGAGACCTGGAGATGTTTCAGCTGACTATAAGATTGATGTGAGCTGATGCCGTCACACAGCTGAGGAGGCCCAGCGCCATGCTGGACAGAAAGCCAGGAGCAAAAATAGCCCTGGTGCAGCTGTCAGATCACAGCAGAAGCCTCTACATCCTGGAGCTAGGCTAGAGGTGGCAGACCTTTCCTCTTTCCCTCGCCAGTCCCTGCAGACATTACTAATCTATCACTGACTCCCTCCTGCTAATCTTGGGTGGGACCTCAGCTGGGTTCCACACAGATTCCCTACATCTGATACTAACTGGCCTCAGAGACAGACACTATGGGTCAGACCCAAATACTGAAAGCTGGGTCAGCTGAGCAAACTAGGCCAAAAGCAGCCCCTCCCAGGGTATATGATCCCTTGTCTCAATCCTAAAGGATGATAAATTGAGGCTGGAATAGATTTCCCCAAAGGTGGAGGAGAATACTATGTCCCATGTAGTTCCAATATGAGAAATGAGGTGGTGAGCACTCTCCCTCTGGAGATATATGAGCTGTGTGCCTCATTCCCAGGAGTAAAAAATACTGTTTGCCTGACAGGAAGTCACACTAGCCCCACAGGGCTAGTCTCAATCTGTAGCCTTTAGTTACATCTCAGGGTCTCCGAGGGCCATGTTCTCAACTGATCTCAAGCCCCACTGTTTTGGAGACCCCTGCCACTTCCTACCTGTACAGCAACTGGGGTGTGTACATGAGTACTGCTTCAGTAAATGGGGGATGAGCTCCCCATGTTCAAGAGGTCCTGGTGGTTGGGCAGGCCTGGTGCCACCCATGAAGAGGTACACACTCTGTCCCAGGACTCCTTTCCTATCTGGGGACTTCAGTCTGACTCAGAAGGCCAGCTTTCCATCCTCTCCAGTCTCAAATGTTCCCGTCTCACAAGAGATGGTCTGTTTTTTTTCCAGACCAAGGGAGGCAGAGGAACCC